TGCCAATGTTCAACATATGTATGTCTAACTCTATCCATATATTCTGAATCATAAAACATAACAACTTTGCCATCTAATAAGTCTTGTGTTAATCGTTCGTTAAAAAAATATTACATCTGAATTTATGTATTTTTCAGGTAAATTGTATGTTTTGCCGCAAATAAATCGTTTATCTAATAAATTGTAATCATCTTTATTATAGAGACTTAGTTTATTAAGTGCATGTCGTCCACCAATTTTAATATCTTTATTATCAATTATTTCTTGCAATGTGTTCACCAAAGGATAGGGTTTTTGTGTTGAATATATTCCCAATAATATACTCGTAAAACATTTTGTTAGTATACTTGTACTCAATATCCATATTATTATTATAGCATAACTAATATATTTATGAAATTTAATTTTGAATTTAATATTTACAAAATAATCCTCTGTTTGATCGACTAGAGTACGCATTATATAAAATGTATTATCAGCTAGGAGATTGTATTTTGAATTATTCAAAACATTCATCACGATTATTACTAATTGACAACAAACACATAATAACAACCAAATCTGTAATTAACACAAGAATTGAAATATATTGTATAATTAATAAATATATGCAGTATTATGGTATCATTCCCAAAGTATTTATGCAAAATGTTAGCCAATTTTGATGCAAGATATTTGTAAATTCAATTGCCTTTCCCCTCTGATTTCTAAAAATATTATTTTAACAGGTGACATACCCTTTGGAATAACCCTACCATTTTAAAATACTTTGGGAATAACACCTGTATGTTTTGAATATTTACATAGTTGTCAAAAATGTATACGAAATTAAAATAGTCGTCATCTTTTCGGAATATAGTAGAGGTCAATATTTCCAATAAATAATTTTGTTTAACAGGTATCTGAATGACATCTGATATATTATCATCGATTATTGGATTGGCATCTAGGTTAATATAATTTCTCTTAATAAAGAAATTTTGTAAAACTTTAATCACAATTATACTAAATTTAGCGATTAATGAGCCAATAAAGTAATACTTACTTCAATATTAAAATCCATTTTAATTTCGTTTAACAGTTTGATGGACACATTCAGAGCACACATGAGATTCTCAAATAGTTTACAATAAAATCCTAACACACACTTATTCAAGAAAATACCATAAGCCTGTTCATATAACTATAAAAAATATATTTGTTATTCAAATACTTTTATTTTAGTGTTTTTAGAATTAAATTGAATAATAAAAATGTACCGGAACAGTAATTGTCAAATTATCCACGTAATCTTTAGTACAATAATATAATTGGTCATACTTAAAATTAGTTTTGCATTCAAATAATTTTACATAAATCGATACTCCATTTCCTGTCATTACAATAATGTACAAAATTGTATATTGCACATATATCAATATTTAATAAACTAATGTAAACAATTATAATATTTTAAGTAAATGATACAATTGTAATATTTTTAACGTAGTTTTTAAAATCTTTACTTAATTGTATCATTATACATTTAATAAAATGTTTTATTTAATGCATAATTACATTTTATAATATAAACCAATACTTCTAAACACAAATATAAGTATAATTATAGCCATTAAGATAATAATTATTAGTTTTCTGAACTTTTATCAACATTAATGGTTTTTCAAACATTTTTATTCATAATTAAGATGTGAATAATCTAATAATTTTTATTCAGTATGTAAATCGGCTACTGTAAATAAATAAAATAAACTTTCGATAATGTTTATATCCATTATAAAAAATGCGAGCAAAACGTTCATTTTAATTTGTTATGTTGAAATGTATAAGAATTATACTGTAAGTTATATTATTATAAATTTATAGCTTATTTAAATAGTTTGTATTGCTTAAATTGAAATGTGAGAGGTTATAATCAAATATAATAATACTGTATAATAATTTAATAAATTTTAAGAATAAGTTTACAATACTTTGTAAATATTATAAATTTAAGGATTTATTACAACTGAATTAAAGTTGTATTATTAAATTAAAATAAATATATTAGGGGTAATTTAAAAAGTACGTATTATAAATTTGGTCCAAAAATTAACCCCTTCCCCCTTGTTGCAAATCGTACGTAAAACCGATACTCCCCTTTATATGCATACATGAATTTTTTATTTTGGGTAACCCCCTCCCCAAATTGAACAATTTTTTAGCTTTTATTTTTAAATTTTATACTGGTCTTGGTCTTACATATACAGCCAATTATTATGATTACTTTTTAATTGATTTCACAGATCTTGTGACAAAATAACTGTCAAAAGATTTGTCACCACTTCATACGTACTTTGACTACTACTGTACCTTTTCCCCAAATAACATACCCTTTTGTCATGACCTCTCACCCTCCGTGCGTATGTACTTATTGTATAGCCTCTAATGTTTTATTTAATAAACTTTCATTTAAATAATGTATAATATTTCAAATAAAATAAGTATTCATATATTAATATTATTGCAAATATTTAAATAAGAAATACATATAAAATATATTAATATAATAATAGTAGTTTGTTTGCCTTAATATAATGTCAACTACATAAAACATAATATATGATAATATAAAGACATTAATTAGAAATAAATCAATAGTACTGTATAACATAGTATGTAATGAAAATTATTTGAATTTTTAAATAACACTTTAAGTCCGCTTTATGATGTCAACTCACAATGAACTGGATCATGCGAGTAAAGCTGAAAGATTATTAGCGCCATTAGCAAGCAAGTTAATCAGGTATAAGATATTTGCCACAAATAAATGGTATGTATGCAATACAAATGCAAATCTCAACAGGACCAATGATGAATTAATTATTAGGACACCAAGGGTTAGATAATGTTTACATTTATTAATATTTACATCATTTATTAATTTATTATTTTTATTTATGATCAGAATATGTACATTGGTTTTGGACTATCATTAATAGAGTGGATGATGTGTGCATTGAATTTAAAAATTAAATTTATTGATTTAAAAATGACTCATAGGATATAGGTTTGTTTTATCATTTACCTTGAATAGATAAATTTATATCTAAAACTGTGTATTATTTCCTTTTTTAAAATAGTCTGGCACATTAAATCTCGTAGAGTTAACACTGGATTCGTATAATTTATCACAATTAGATTACGTTATAGTAAATCAATTTTACACAATGGAAATATTAAGCATGGTCAAACATGAGTCAAACACCTCCAACTTTTCCTTTGTATACCTATTTGATTATCAGGTAATTATTTTTAAAATATTTCAGCAATAATGTTTAAATTTCAATTTACTTTATATATAGTTTTGGGGTTTATTATTACTATTTGGACTCATTTTCAGTGTTGTGTTTTTATTTAAAAACCAACATTTTACGACAAATTTTATTAAATTATTAATTGATATAATTGGGAATCTGTGTCATCATGAATCTATTGTAATGAATAACTATATTAAATGTAAAACAAGTAAAACTTATCTATTGTTTTTGCTATACGTGTGGATATTGAGCGCAAACTTGATTACCCTATCGTTTACGAGTCTTGTATTAAACGCATACTCTATTCATAAGCCAATTAAGACTATCGACTCAATTAGCGATCTAATAGAGCACAGGGAGCTATGGGTGGCCGGAATGAGAGCTATAAATAGTATAAAGATAACTCGTCCCATAGTTTACCACATATTATACAAACGAATTGAGAAATATGAACACAAATTGGGCATTAATACAGAGTCGTCTGAATTTGATTATTTTAATGCGGCGCTAGATAATGATCTTGGTCATGGAAAAACGGCTATTTTATGTATTCATGTAATTAATAAAATGTACAATATACTGTATATGTGTTTATATGAAAGGTTGTAAACTATTTGTTATGCAAAACAAAGTCTAAATTCTATTTTAAAAATCTAACTTAATGAATCACATAATTTGAATTGATTTCACATTTATTTCAATATTTGTCTATAACCAAAAGTATTTGTGTACTAAAAATACAGTAATTTATGTCTGAAATTTATATGCGATGACTTATAATTTATTTATGTAATGTATATAATTACAATAGTATTACAATAGTATTACAATAGTATTTTATTTTATAATAATAATAATGCTTCTTGTACTTAAATCTCGGTTCATAATTAGCTTTCAAGTGTGATTTTTATTTTGTAGTAATTTTTGTTTTTAGTTTTTTTTAGTAAACTAGTTTGTGTGTGAAATAAGTGTCCACATAAATTAGTTCTCTCATCCCTGGCCAGCCCTGTATTACCAAACCACAGAAAACATGAATGCAACAATATATCATTTACTATAACTTACTGTGGCTAAAACACTGGCCAAGGTTAAAATTTAGTAATGTCCTTAATCGTATACTGGATTTAAGAGGAATGGCTAATCTTGTCTTTAGCGCACATATTGCTAAAACCTAACAAATTGATCCACCAATTCATATGACAGGTCCGTGTGGACTGATCAACATAATAGTGCCAATGAGGTCCCCGGTATGCTATTTCCAGTATTATTGATACCCCGATAAGTGTCATAAGGGACGGCACTAACCGTAAATATTGATGGATTATATCGATTATGTAATCATAAAGTTGTGAATAATAAGTGCTATTATTTCCATTGTAATCATTGAACACTCGATAGCCGTATAGACAACCGCTAAGCAATAAAAATGAATCGACCCATAGATCACCATTATAGATTATTATCGCATAGTATAATGAGTCCATGGATGATATTTCTTGTAATGGGTTCACTATAATTATAATTGAAATTTTTTATTTAATAGTTAAAAAATATATAATGGTTTTACCGGTGAATTGACCTTTTATTTTGACCCATTGAGAGTGAGTGTGTAATAGGATTATGAACTGTAAACTCAATACACGGAATCCGTGCAGACATTTAATATCTGCACTTTTATTTGTATTGTTTGTGTCAAACAATTTATTGAAGTTTAATGGCACCGAAAATGATTTTTGATGAATTCAGAATGAATTGTTGACTTTCCCAATATTGAGCGGGTCCAGCATTACCATCAGACCAAATGAGGTCCGGTTTGTATGTATTCACCAATTCCTCCAATTCTGGACGAGTTTTTATCTAATGTACAATAGATTCTCATTTTATACTATATTATACCTCATAACAAACTATATTCTTTATAATGTATAATAATTAATTTAATTTATTTGTGAAAAAATAGTAACAGTACACTTTGTCAAACCCCTCTTTTCCTCCAAATAATTAAATTAAATTTGTGTAAAACTAAAATTGATATTGCTAGTATATATTCTATTAGATTTGTTAAAATTCTTATTTTAAAATGAAATATACGATAAAACATATCACATACTTCAACGAATTAATAATCATACAGATTAAAGTACTTATTATTAATAATTTTAATATAATTTAAATTAATATTTATGAAAATTGCTTACTTTGGTGAAGTCATTAGTGGTAAAATTGTTAGCCTGGTCCTTTAGATAATACGGATTAAACCATTCAAATAGCGAGTGATAAACACCGAAGTGAAGGCCCGCGTCTTTCACAGCAGTCGATAAATCACCTAAAATTACATAACAATTATTACTATTAATTAAAACAATTAAACAAGAATTGCAACTACATTGTTCAAAGGTAAAATGTATATTTATCCAATATATCACTGAATAAATCTTATAAATTATACTTTACTGACATGTAAAATGGTAGAAAGCACAGGTGCTATCATTGTACTACATGAATTATGTCACATCATAAAAATTAATATTTTTAAAATTGTAATTTTATATAAAGTGAGAATAATTTTGCAAAACTTATCAAGAAAAAGTATGTCTTTTTAATAATCAAATTTTCCTACTCATAATTAGATAAATGATTATAAAAGTCAATGATAATTTGATAAATAATATTACAAATGATCCAGAACTTTAGTCTTATATTTAAAAATAGTGACATAATTTAGTAAGTGGTTAATGCATATAACTGAAATTGTATTGTAATTTTATTATATATATTATTTTTGATAATAGTTGATTATTTTAGATAAGATTATTTTGGTAGAAATGTTAATACAAATTAATGTATAATATATGAATACAAATTGTAAGCTAAATAACATTTTATTTATCAAAACATTATTTTTTATAACATTATTGCAATTTAAGTGTATACCTACAATACATAATTCTACAAGGTAATTTACATAATTGGCTAGATTAGAGTACTATTTTGTTGTTATTTTGAGCACCCAGGCCCATTTGGCAACGCTATCAGGAGTAATGTGTGGGAATGTAATGACTGTTGAGGTACCGGAGCCGGCAGTGAATTTCAATTCACCCTTTTCTCCCAATAGCTCGACTGCACCGACAGTCGAGTGATCGAGTGATCCCAGAGTCAGTTCATTACCTTTAGGCCAATACAACACTATTGAGTAAACAGTTTTGTCTTTCTGTGTATACCTGTCCACCGAATCAATGATTACAATCATGTAATTTATGTCTATTTGTGTCAATACATACCAAACTTGTTTAGTTGTCGTATCGTTTTGGTGTTTCCAGGGTTTGCTTTCATAGATGGCCTCTCCATTCACGGACAGCCAGTGCCCCAAATCACGTAATCTGTCCTCAAATACCGGTTTAATAACGCCGTCGTGTGTCGGCCCGACGTTTATCAGGATATTTCCACCGCAACTGATTTATAGCACAAAATATAAAATTATGTATTTAATTAGTTTTAAAACATTTTAATATATTTTATGAATACCTGATAGTCTGAGCCAATGTTTGGAGCAAATCATGTGTAGACAAATAGTCAGTTGAGTTGGCATTACGTCTATAACCCCACGAATGCTTGTCTATAGTCATGGCGTTCTCCCACTTGTGTTTCTGTAGTACTCCCGGATTATACTTATCTTGATAGTTAAAGAAATCACCATGCTTTCCACCAGTTCCCGACCCTTTACAAAAAGTCTCGGTATTATGAGTTTTGCTTTAAAGCAAATGAATTTGATTGATTTAATTTACCCCATCTGTCGTTGACAACAATGGTATCCTTTACGGGACTGTTAGAAATAATTTTATAAATGAGTTTGGCATTAAATTTCATAAACGATTTTAAAATTACCTATCGTTGTATAGCCAGGCAAAAAATTTTTGAGCTTCCCAGTACTCGGGGTGAGCACCACCACTACCATCAGACCAAATCAGATCCGGTTTGTATGTATTGACCAATTCCTCTAATTCTGGACGAGTTTTTATCTAATAAATTGTGTGTTTTATGTTAAACTAATTATATACGGTATAATATATTTAATATTATTTTTAAAATTAATTCAGTTCCTACAACAAAACTACCCTAAACCCTTTTTAATAATTTCACATCTAAATCTCTATATTTAAGTGTTATTACAAGTATTTCTACATTTAAGTGGGAGCATACAAAACTTTACTTTAAAAAATGTTCTCATGATAAGAAAATGCCTTTATACTATCTCTAGTACTGTATCTTATAATTAAAAATTATTATTAATAATTGTACAGATTCAAATATGTTTGTTGTATGTTTGTAGATTAAAGTACAAATTGTTATTTTTTAGATTAAGCAAATGATTATATACTCATAGAAGGCCACTTACTTTAGTAAATTCATTAGTGGTAAAATTGTTAGCTTGGTCCTTTAAGAAATAAGGATTAAACCATTCATAGAGTGAGTGATAAACACCGAAATGAAGACCGGCGTCCTTTACAGCAGTCGATAAATCACCTAAAATTGCAATAAAATTATTACTAATAACTAAAACACTAATAAATACTAAATAATAAATATTTCACAAACCGACTAAATCCCGATTGGGTCCGACATCCATAGCATTCCAGTTATAGGACACCTTCGATGGCCATAATGTGAAGCCTTCGTGATGTTTGGTCGTCAGCACCACATACTTA